TTGGCTGCTAACAGGGGCTAAGGTGACTGATCTGGCTTCTTCAAGCTGAGCAGGGATGAAATGGGGCCCATGATCAAACTGGTCAAACCCAGGTTGCAGAGGAAGGTGGCCTTTCAAGGGGGCTGCAGCAACAGCCAACAGAGGCTGCTCCCATCTGAGGGTTCATGTGCATGGCCATCCAGGAGGAAACAGAGCTAACAAGCTGATCTGCTTAAATATACAAGGTCCAAAGCAAAGGACAGAGTTGTTAGAGGTCCCAGGAAAGTGCCACACAAACTCTTCCCACTGAAAGGCAGTTAGACGTTGACAGAAGGGGTTTGATAATCAGATGGTTATAAAGGCTTGGTTGCATGTGTGTGAAGCCCCAGACCTATTGCTCTTTTCACGTGGGGTAATGGATGAGACATGGTAAGGGTAGAGGGTATGAACCTCCTTAAGGAAGACATTCTGTTAACTTCCGTTTCCTGCTGAGCTTGGAGGAGGGCTGACCAGAATAGGAGGCTAGTGTGGAATACACTGTTTTGAAGTGGACACTTAGTTTAACCTGCAACGATTACTTTGGAAGCTGGCAAAGCTTATTGTTTCCTGCTTTTCCTGGTGGCCCACAAGGTCTGTGGTTCTGACTCAGGAGTCCTTCAGCCAGGACATTTCTGTTTCCAAGGGCCTGGCTCTTGGCAGAGCTAACAGGGCTCTCTAGAAGCTGGCTTCTGTCATGGCAGCTTTTGCCCAATGCCTTGGCTTTCCATATCAAAACCAGGTGCTTTTATGGGGGTTGGAGGCTGGCCTTGTTTGACCTCCTTGACAATGATTTTACTTTGTAAGTAAAGCCAGTATTAATTGGCCTCCTGCTGCGTAGCTCAACCCTCTTCCTCCAGGTCTCTATTAAAGTAGACCAGGGGGCAGTCTTTAGGGTACCAGCCACAGGAACATTCAATTCAACCCCAGATCATCAGTGGCCTGAGATAGAGTTCTGTGGTCACAGGCATGTTCTGGCAGTGTTCTTCCCATGAGATAAGACACTGTACGTGAGGGGGACTATGTCCTTTTGAGGAAGATAAGGATACGATTATTACTGATTATTGCTCAATCTGTTTATAAATTTTGAAGTCACCAATATAACTTTATCTCCCACTTAGTTTGATTTGAGAAAAGGGAGAGGGATTGTCTGTTTATTGTGTCCATGGAAAAATAAATTTAGCTGTGAAATCATATCATAATTTAAGCTCTTACGTTTGGCTGTACTATTTATACTATTTAGTCTTGTCTATGTGGCCAGGGTAACTTGGTTATTTAAATGTGGCCTGGTATCATTATATAAGAGGTTAGTCTTCTCTTTTATAAACACTGGAGTTTCAACTGCGTATTCAGCGAGTCTTTCAGAATAAATTTTCCATTTGGGACAGAATAGAGAAAAAAATTTTTTTTAATTCAAAAAAATTTAAAAAATTAAAACTTACTAATTTGAACAAACACGATAATTTTTGGAAGCATTTGCCAAAAAGGTTCAATATCTTCCACAAGTTTTACTGAGTTTGAAGATACTTTGAGAGTTTGAGCGAGAGACAGAGAGAGACTCTTAGTTTAAGTAAAGAATTTTACTTTTAAGAGACTCTAATGGACTGTCCCCTCATGGGAGATGGCCTGGAACCACTTCCATGTGGGGGTGACTGCATGGGGAAAGTGGCCACCTAGGGTAGATAGCCCTGGGGTTTTCTACATCTTGCTTTTGGGGATGGGAGAACAAGAGAAGGCAGCAGCCCTCGGTTTGCGCGTGCACAAGTGTGTGATGTACAGAGCAGAGTCCTCATCATGGTGGGTATCACCCCCTGCACACTGACACCACGTCAGGATAACATCCTGGACATTCCTGGAAGGGCGGAGTTGGCCTTCGGCAGGTGTCCATGAGACCTCCATCAAGGAGTCACTTCTACCAGCCTAACTTTCAAGCCTTTTGTTTTACAGTGTTGGTGTGCACAGCTTGTCTCTGGCTGCTTTGAGCTGAAGGGTTGGGGAGCATTGAGGGCTAGGTTGGAGCATTAGTGGGGGCAGTGGCACAGGGAGAATGGATCAAAAGAGTGATTAGTGAGGGCTTTCGCTTGGTCTTAGAAGAACCCCATCAGGAATCAAAGCAAATACGATGTGAAAAGAACAAAACCAATATGCATGGCTGTGGCAGAAACAAATAAAACACCTGCTCCCGATCTGTGTAGTGTGTACGTGCTGATGAGGCTCTGTAGGATGTAGCTAGACTGGCCTGCTTCTAGTCCTGGGCTTCCTCATTCCCTCCCCGGCTGTTGTCAGGGGTAGGGGGACTGTTTTGTTTCTTTGGAGCTAATGGTCAGCAGAATAGGGGCCTGTGGTCAATCCAGCACTCCAGAGAAGGTGGTCTTGAGGGAGCCATAGCTCCAATTAGCAGAAAGTATTTTCATCTGAGGTTTTAAGTGCATGACCACTTAGAACTGTTTCAAGTCTGGAAGAAATGCAACTAACAAGCAGATTAAATATCCAAGTCCCACAGAACAGTCATTAGAGGACCCAGAAAAACTCTACAGCTATTCAAATCCAGAAGTTGTCCTCAAGAGGCAAATACAAGTTGATAGGAAGGCTGTGAGCACTAGATGGGTGTTAATAGATAATTAGCTGGTCAGATATTATGTGACACCCAGGCCTATCTATGTCTTCGTGTGGTATACTGCGAGAGACGTCATAAGGGGCGTGTGTAACTCTTCAGGAGAGATAACCTGCTGATGCCAATTAACAAGACTGAGAAGTGAGCCGGTCCGAATAGGAGGCTGATACAGAACACGCAGTGTCTCTAGGTGGAAATTCGGTTTTCACTGATCCTAGACCATCCCCTCCATAATGATGTGCACAGAGGGAGCTGGGTAGAGGGATGAGCTTTCTAGCTTGTGGTCTACCATGTTCTGACTAAAGAGTCCTTGAACCCCCAAGGCAGTTTTCTTGCCAGTCACCAGGCTATTGTAGAGCTGACAGGATTCTTTGAAAGTCAGCTTCTGTCAGGGGCAGCTGTTTGCCTAATTCCTTAGCTATCTGCACACTGAGGGTGAACTCGCCCTGCTAGCTCTCCTTGATGGTACATCACTTTACAAAGCCACATTAGTGGCCTCTTGCCTAGCTTGTTCCTCTCCCTCCTGAGCTCTGAAAAAGTGGATAGCAAACAGGATGTCAGCTAAGGGGATGCTCAGTTCTATCCATAAGTCCTTATTGAGCTGAGTTAAAAGTCTGTAATCACAGACACATTTTGGCAGCTTTTATTGGGAGATAAGGCAGTGCCCATAGAAGAGCTTTGTTCTTCTGGTCTTTCACATGTGGGTGGCTAAGCATTATTGTGGAAAAAAGTTCACCATCTTTCTTATAGGGTCTAGAGATCAAACTATACATCCTAAGAATTCTTCAGGGTCTTAGAGAGAGAAAAGAGAATTGAAGGATTAAGTCAGAACCCCAAAATTGCTTACTCTAAGTAACAGTATCAACTGAAAATTGCCCTGTGGGTTTGGGGAAGATTAGGTCATTTTTCTCACACCAATGCTGAACACCCATATGTATTCAGGCCATGCCTGCTGAATACGGTTATTTTTAAAAAATATTTATTTATTATTATTGGAAAGGCAGATTTATAGGGAGAAGCAATAGAGAGAAAGATCATCCATCCACTGGCTCACTCTCCAAATGACTACAATGGCTGGAGCTGAGCTGATCCGAAGCCAGGATCCAGGAGCTTCTTCCAGGTTTCCCACATGAGTGCAGGTCCCAGGGCTTTGGGCTGTTCTCCACTGCTTTCTTAGGCCATAAGCAGGGAGCAATAGCTGGAACATGAACTGGCACCCATGTGGGATCCTGGTGCTTGCAGGTGAAGGATTAGCTGATTAACTCTCACACTCCCCAAACATGACTGCTTCCTAAATGCAAAGAAAAGCCATGGAGGGAATCATAGAAAGGAAAGCATCTGGGGCCAGTATTGCGGCACAGCAGGTCATGGTCCTTCCTGTTGGTTACTTGTCACCAGTCCTGTGTGTCTGCCTTGGTCTGCTTTGTGTATGTGGTTCCAGTATGACTGCCTGCCTTCCCCATGAAACCCAGCTCTCTGTTCTATTGCCTGTGTTCCTGCTCTAACTTCTTTCAGTCCTTGCCAAAGCAACTCTTGGGCTACTGGGGTTTGGGTGTAATGGCTGCAGGAGGGTTTTGTAGGGGACGTGCCTTTCTGGGACAATGGTATAGGGTATTTTGTCAGATGTTTCAGCAGTGTATGCGACAAGGAAAAACAGGGATTTGTGAGTACTGTTTGTGCTGTCCCATGGACAGCGAGGTGGCCATTGGTGGGGTGAGAGTGAGCACACCTCCCAGTCAGCCACCGCATCACTTAGAATATTCCCTAGGGAAACTCCCACACAGGTGCACCTGGATACGTGTCACAAGGACACTGCTGAAGTACTGTTTGTAATCACAGGAAAAGGACCTTTCTCTGCGTGTCCATTAGCAGGGCAGGGACAGACAATTGGTGTTGTTATATAACAGACACTCACTAGCAGCCACGAGCCAGAGACAAAGCAACAAGGAGAGACCTTGGGAATCTAAGATCAAAGGAAGAGGCAAGTTGCAGGACTACTCACTCAGCCTGAAGCTGGACTCTCTTTTGAAAACCACAAGGCAGTGTGTTGTCAGGACTATTTACACACAGACTAAACATTCAGCAGTGTGGAGCAGGGGGACACACACCAAGCCCATTCTATCTAGCAGGATAGACGAGGTCCATTCATCTGGAACTACTCTCCAACTCTTCGTGGATTGGACAGCAGAGCTTGTGTCTTGGCTGTGCTGCACACCCATCAAGTCCCATGTCGCCTCACTCTGGGACCAGGCTGGTCAGCAGCCAGCAGAGGCCATGGCAGACAGAACCAGAGCTTGCAAACACTCTCTCCTTGCCTTGCCTTGGCCAGAGCAACCAGCTACCACAGGCAGCTTTGAGGGACAGGCAAGGGCTACAGTGTCTGTGTCCAACAGAAGTGGTCATGACTGGTGTGCAGACCTATACCCACCATGGTGAGGCTCTCTGGGAAGAGCACAGAGAGACTCCACCTTTACTGTGATTTATTCATTTTAAGAGCATGAAATGAAATTTGAAACTTATTATTCACCTAGAGTTTGCTATGATTTTCCATATTGTTTGTTTTTAACTCTAACCCTAACTGTAAGTGTATTTTTTATTTACAGTTTTCATTATAAAGCTAGCGCAGTGGTGTAACAGGTTAATCATCTGTCAGCATCGGCATTCCATCTGGGCACCAGTTCATGTTCTGGCCACTCCACTTCAATGCAGCTCCTTGCTTATGAGCTGGAGAAGTAGTGGAGGATGGCTCAAGTCCCTGGACTTCAGCAGCCACATGAGAGACCTGGGAGGAAAAGCTTGGTTCCCAGCTTCAGAGTGGCCTACCTCTGGCTATTGTAGCCATTTGGGGAATGAACCAGTAGATGGAAGATCTCTGTCTGTCTGTCTCTCTCTGTTAACTCTTTCCAAGTAAAAGAAGTAAATCTTTAAAAATGTTTTTCATTAAGTTTATTTTTTTTAAGATTTATTTTTATTTTTATTGGAAAGGCGGATATACAGAGAGGAGAGACAGAGAGGAAGATCTTCTTCCAATGATTCACTCCCCAAGCGGCCGCAACGGCTGGAACTGAGCCAATCCGAAGCCAGGAGCCTCTTCTGGGCCTCCGAGGTGGGTGCAGGGTCCCAAAGCTTTGGGCCATCCTCGGCTGCTTTCCCAGGCAGAGTTGGATGGGAAGTGGGGCTGCCAGGATTAGAACCGGCACCCATATGGGATCCCGGGTGTGCAAGGCGAGGACCTTAACCACTACACCATCGTGCTGGGCCCTCATTAGGTTTATTTTAAAGGGAGAAAGACAAATAGAGGAAACCCCCATCCACTATTTCAACCTTGAAATGCCCACAGTGACTGGGCAGGGGTCAAGAGGAGCCAGGAGGACAGCCCAAGGCTCCAGGAGGGTGACACAAACCCAGGAATGTGAAACACCATCACTTCCTGATGGGATCTGTGCCAGGAGCCAGAGCCAGGGCTTAAGCCCACATACTCTATCTGGACATAAGACATGGCTCTATTAATCACTTGGGTAAACACCTGCTCCCCTGGAAGCTCTTTTTCAGAATTTTATATGCATGCATTTATTTGAAAGGCTGTGTGGCAGAAAAGGAAACACACACACACACACACCCCTTCTATGTGCTGATTCATTACCCACATGGCTGCCAGCAGACAAACTCTGTCCAGGTCACCCACATGTGTTGCAGTAGTCCAGGCACTGGGACAGTCTACATGTGCATTAGCAGGCAGCTACATTCGAAGCAGTGCACCTGGGACAAACCTACACTCGGATATGGGATGCTGGTGTCACATGCCCCATTTCAGCCTGCACTGAAAGCTAGCCACAAAAATGATAATGTGTGAAGGAAAGGGACAGTGGAGCATCTTGGTATCAGTAGTGATCAGCGTGCTTCCTTGCTGAGGCATGCTTTATCTGTAGAGTTCGGGAGGCACATGAGCTGTACAACTGGTTTGTGTTTGTGTTTCTTTGATTTGCACAACTGATGTCTTTCTGACCTGCTCACTGCTTGGGGGGCTCCATCCTGTGGGCTGCAAACCATGTGCCCCTCTGTCCCTGTGTGTCTCCTCACCCTGTGGCCCCGACTCTCCCTCAGGCTGCTGTATAAACCTCAGAATTCACAGCCCAAGCCTGCCATGGGTAGGGAGGCAGTCAGTGTTACCTGAACACCTCTGCCATGCGCATTTTACCTTAAATAATGAACCATTTCAGAGCCCTCCTCTGAAATGAGGAATGAATGATACTGAGTGAATGAATGACTACAGCCCTCCTTCTCCTGCCGGTCAGTGGCGGCAGGAACCCCTGGTCCTCCCACTCCACCACGAGCCTCCTGAGAGGGGGCAGGCTCAGGTTCTCTGCAGGAGTCACTGTGTGTTCTTCCTGCATGGAAAAGCCACTGCTCTCTGGGAACTCTACCTGGGGGACCTGCTTGCCCTGTTGTCCTGGGACTGCCTCAGTTTCCACGCTGGAAGTCCTGAGGCCAAGAGCTAACAGTCCGAGGCAGTTCATGAGGATTGGTCCCCCATGATGACTCCTTCTCCCTGGGTCCTGCACCTTTCTTGTCCTCACATGAGAGGCTGACTCTGGTCTCATCTCTGCACGTCAGCTCTCAGGTCTCAGGAACAGGCCAGAAAGGAAGAGGCAATGGAGGCATTGGAGGAAAGAGAACCAACTCGGGACCTGATGAGAGATCTTTATTCTTTATAAAAGGATGTGGGATCTGCACACTGGCTGAGGTCAAGCCCAGTGTTCTGGAAAAGAATGAACAGACAGAACAATCAGGTTAGCATCACATGTTCTGGAGTCATATGGAACTGGGGTCAGCTCCTAACCTCACCACTCATTCCCTGTGTGACCAGGGAGAGTGACCTACCCTGTCTGAGCCTGTTTCCTCTCTAGTGAGAGTGGTGATCACAGGATTCACCTAATGGGGGTTCGGGATTAAACCACCAAGGTTCCCATTACTGTCCATAGTGCACATTTACATGGTGTGTAAGTGGTGATCGCTGCTATGATATCATGGACAATATTAACTGTCTTTGTCTGACTGCCCTCATTGATGCTTGGCCTTCTCGCCCATTATTATTGAGAATGCACCCATTCTCAGCATTTTTGCTCATTTCACATCTCCCCCATCAGGTGGCCACATGTCCCTCTATCCTCTAGGACAAGTAAGGTTCTGACCTGAGGACACACTGAGAAACCCTCACTAATAAGGAAGTGCAATGCTCCACTCAAAGCCTGCGAAGATCTGGTGCCACACAGAGCAGAACACATCCCCGGGCCCCTCGGGAATGTCCCCAAGACCCCACTGCCCTTCTAGGATCCTTTGCAGCCCCTCACCAGGATCTGATCTGTCACCCAGACCCTCTCAGGAAAGCCCAAATTGCCCAGTCCTCACCTTCTCAATCCAGTCAATGAAAGCCGACACACGGGTGAACACAGTGGGCTTCCTCTCAGTGTTGCAACCACTGGAGGACACAAAGCTGGTCACACCGTGGACCTGCCAGAAACCGTCCCCTGCAGGGCAGTTGAGGGGTCCTCCAGAGTCACCCTGTGATGGTCAAAGGGGTGGATGCTGAGCCACATCTCAGCTGGAAGGAATTGTCCCTGATCTGGGGGTTGCAGACACACCCACACTGCTGCACCTCCCCCAGCCTCAGGGCGTCAGCTGGCCAGGACCAGGGTCTGTGCTACCACAGCTGCTGAGCAGGAAGGGACCCACACAGGACCTCAGCACAGCCCCTGGCACAGAGGGAGCCCCGAGAGACGCCAGCGCCCCCAGCTGGCAGCACCTTCCCTACTGCCTAGGAGGACTCAGCTCCCACAGCACAGTGGTTGAGGATCCCTGCAGAGCCCAGAGTGGGTGACTCAAGGTGGTGGTGTGAGTGTGCCTGCTGTGCTGCTGGGGAAGCCTGAGCAGGAAGAGGGACAGTGATGTTCCCAGGTGAGGGGGCGTGTGAACTGGGCCAGGAGTCAGGGTGTGTGGGCTGTGCTGACTTCCTCCAGGCCTGGAGCCTGACAGGGCTAACAGAGAAGACACCTATTCCACCTCATGGAGATGGTAGAGGAACCTGGAGCCCTGCCCACCTGGGACAGATGCAAAGTTACTTACATAGCAGCCAGAGACTTCATACCCGCCCGCGCACACCATGGTCCTTCTCACAAGTAAACCCCACCAGGTCAGCCTTGTGCAGTGTGCGTGGTCCACCACGGGCAGCAGCCCCTTCTGAAGCTTGTTTGGGGATAAGCCATCAGCTGCACAACAGAGAGCAATAACAGAGGTTGGCATTGGAGGTCTGCAGCACTATTGGCTTGGCCTGATTTGGTCCTTTTTCCTTCCAGTTCTAGCGTTCTCATGTTGCGTGCACCTCTATACTCCAGGCCTAGCACACAGGTGGGCACATTAGAATTTGGGAGGCTGCAGAAGGCGAAAAACCCAGAGACCAGCCCTGGTGTGACCATGCACCCTACCACGCCTCCTGGCCAGCACATACTGGAAAGACGTCCCCAGCCGGTGATGTAGCATTCTGTCCCATGGTCCAGGATGTCCCCAGCAGGAGGGAGGCAGGCAGGCTTGACTTCAGATGTCAGGTTTGCACTGTGTGACAGCTTGATGAGGGCGATGTCATTGCTGTGAGGAGGGAAGAGTCATGTGGAGCTTGGTCCTCCAGTGGGTCTAACACCTAGGTATTCCCATCTAAGAGACTGCTGCTATTCCGGCATCCCCTAATTGCACAGCTGCTTCCTGCCCCTCCAGCCCTCATCAGCCCTTGGCCTTCATGCTTGTGTTAGGTGTCCATCTGTGGTCTTCACACTGAAGTTGAATCAGAGTGCCCTGGAAGGCTGTGGCCCACAGTTTCTGGGTGGGCACTGGGCTCAGCACTCAGAGGTTGCATCCCGCATCACAGTGGCAAGGGGCAAGTCCAGGCTCTGCTTCCCATCCCAGCTTCCTGCTCATGCCCAGGCTGGAGAAGCAGCTGGTGGCTACAAGGTCAAGGCTGAAGCTCAAGGTCCTGAATTCCAGACATCCACATGGGAGATCCAGATCGAGTTCCAGCTTTCTGAGTTCAACCTGGTCAAAGTAGGCATTTAGGGGTGGAACCAGTAGACTAATGATTGCGCTCTCTCTCTCTCTCTCTCTCTCTCTCTCTCTTTCTCTCTCTCTTTGGCTTCAAGAAATAAAAATAAAAGTGTAAAAAAAATAAGTAAAGCCACAGATTTCAGGGCCCTACCCCAGGATGTCCAAGGCTGTGTCTGGTTGAGGTCTGAGGTCTGACATTTCCCACAGGTTCCCAGGGATGCTGATGCTTCTCTCCCACAGACCAGATGTTGGGGACCACTTATCTGCCTGCTGTCACTTGGGACATCTTTATCTGGGTCTCCCTTATCTCCCTTCTGCCCCAGGAGCCCTGTGAGGATGGGCCTGGGTCTCCATTGCTGTGTCCCTCATGTATTGCATCTGCCCATGTTCTACCCCGTCCTGTGATCCTCTCATCAGAAAAGTCTAAGCCCCGGAAACACAGGTGTATACACAGGTGAGGACTGAACAGAGCCTCCATGCCCATCACCACCACCACGAAGCCCTGCTACGGGGTCACCTGTGACAACTGGAAACCTAAGCCCAGAGCAGGGCACTCACTGTCACTGTCCAGGGCACTCAGGGAGGGACACCCACAGCCTGATTCTCAGTCCAGCGCTCCTCCCCTGCTCACACATCCAGGAACCTAGACTGTGCTGGAGGAACCTCTGCTGAGCACAGGACACCTTGGACTTGAAGAAGAGGCCTGAGAGTCCTGGGATCCAGGGACACTGAACCCAGCAGCCCTGGGGGACTTCCTGTCTCTCCCTGGCCTGCTGAACCCTGTGCAGGGAGGGATGTTGTTGCTGCTGGTCTCTAAGGCTCTGCCCAGTGTGTGAGAACTGGGCCCAGGCTGCTCACCCTTCCCCCTGTCTCTGAAATTTTCCTAGATGAGCAATGGGTTATGGAGGGAAGAACATAGGAGCCTGGTCCCAGGCTTTGAGCTCACTTACCCGCAAGGTGTACAAATGGAAAAGTATAGTGGGTGGACAATGAAGTCCTCAGGATTGATGAGGATCTCCTGCTCAGGTCCCTCTGTCACTGAGCGGTCGTACTCTCCCAACACAACCCGATATGTCCGGTCACTCCTGCCATGGGAGCGGAAGTTAGTTGGCCTGACTGCCCACCGTGTCCTGGGGAGCCTGGGCTCCACACAGGGTAGAGATGGGGGCAGTAAGGGAACTCACGAGTAGCAGTGGGCAGCAGTGATAACCCAGTCGGCGGAGATGAGGGTCCCTCCACAGGTGTGGAACCAGCCCCCACTGTACTCATACTGCAGGGAGACCTAGTGACCAGAAAGAAGCAATCTAAGGGTCCATGGCTAGGGTTTTGATGTCTGTTGTATATCACACACAATGCCAGAGGTGCCATTCACACTAAAAACAACAGTCCTTTCTGAGTCATGTGGTTCCCAACCCACACACTTGCTCATGGTGGTCCTATCAAAGTTCCTCTGGAATCACACTGTGTTTATGCAGTATCCCCATCCTAGATCCTATTGTATAATTCAATGAATGTAGAATGGAATCTCCAAGTCTGCCTTCCTAAATACAGTGCCGCAATTATTAATGCAACAACCCCTTGAGTGAAGCTGCCTTCTGGCTCCAGATCCAACTTTTAATACACAAACAGCAGGTTGTAGATAAAAGCAGAAAAATCTCCATGGGCAACTGACTGTTCCAGAGCTACTGGCTCTGGGAAGCTGAAGCAGGGACTGGAAAGGGAGCCATGGGGTCAAGGCTAGAGACCTTGCATCAGAACTTGGAGTCCTGAGCCCACAGTGTGATTCAGTGCAGCTGGTGTTGCTCTCACCTGCCAAGGCCAGCTGTAGGGCTCTGCATCCTCACCATTGACCACACGGCTGGAGGGGTTGAAGGAAGGCTGGTCCAAGCCTGAGGCTAGAGGAGAGGAAAGGCGTAACCAGCAGAGGGACCCCAAGAGGAAAGGGGGGCAGGATCCCAGTCCTAGCTGTGCCACAGCTTTTGACCCCCTGATTTCCCTTCCCTTTCTGAGTCTCAGACATCACTGATGAACAGTAAACACTGGGACTAGAACAGGCATTTCCAGGGTCCCTCGAGGCAAGGAAGGAGATAAACATGCTGCCTCAGTCAATACGAGCGGTGAGGCTGCTGACACTAGAAACAGTGCCCGACTCCAGGTCAGCCTGCTCAGCAGCCTGCTGCTGCTGTCACACAGTGGTGGCGTTGGGGTTGGTATTTGATGCTGTGGTTCCAGTGTCCCTTAGAATGCCCAAGTCCCATATGGGAGTCCCTGGCTTTGAGTTTTGGTTTCTTTCTGGATTCCAACTCTCTGTGTACCCCAGCAGGCTACAGTGATGGTGCAAGAACTTGTGTCCCTGACCTCCACTGGCTGCTGTCTGTTTGAGATACTTGGGGGTAAGAAGGGAGTTGGGATATCTCCTTGTTGTAGAGATGGAAGATGCTTCTGTATTCTTCTGTCTGTACCCCACTCTTTCTTTCAAGTAAAATGCATAAATGAAAAAAATGTTTTTCAAAGGAGTGTAGGATTTAAAGACTTTCTGTGTTCACAACACAGATAGGTTCAAGAATGAGCTGCTTGTTCAAGGCTCAGTTTCCCTATCAGTAAAGTTAGGAATGGAAGGGCTGACATTGTGGCATAGCATGTTTAGCTGGTGCCTGCAAGGCTGGCATCCCATACGTATGCTGTTTCAAGTCTCAGCTGTTTCATTTCCAATCCAGCTGCCTGCTGGTATGCCTCGAGGAGCAGTGGAAGACAGTCCAAGACCTTGGGCCTCTGTACCCATATGGTAGACCTGGAAGAGGCTCTGGACTCCTAGCTTCAGCCTGGCCCAGTCCTGACCACTGTGGTCATATGGAGAATAAACTAGCAGACTGATGACGTTCTGTCTTTCCTCCTCTCTCTTTCTCTGTAATTCAGCTTTTCAAACAAATAAAAATAAATCTTGTTCAGAAATTGAGAATGGAAACTTCATCCCACATACTCTAAGTGCAGAGCCTGAGCTTCACCTCTTGGTTTTGACCACTGATCCACCAAGGACTTTCTCCAGAGCCCTTGGTGCTGCTCCCAGTCCTTTTTCGAACTGGTCCATTCCCTGTTTTCCCACCTTTCTCCTCCCCAGCACCAAACTGAAAGTCCCCATAACTGTGCCCCAGGTACACACTGAGACCTCTCCTATGGAAGCAGGTGTTGGGATCATAACACCCAAGGTGGGGAGCAGATTTCAGGACTTCTGGTCCAGGACACAGGGATCACAGACTCATGCTGGGGCTTACCCAGGGCCACAAGGAGGAGAGAGCTCAGCAGCCGGAACATTGTGAGTTTAGATGAAAGAACCGAAGCGAGACAGAGCCTCAGCTCTAATATACGGCAGAGACAGGTAGAGGGGGCTGGACTGGGCTCCATTCCCAGGTCTCCCATGGTCCAAGGTCACAGTCCCTACCCACTGCACATGGAAGACTGACAGCCAGAGGAAGGATCCAGGGTTCCCTGCACTAAGTGGTTGCATGAGTAGCACCAGGTGGCCAATTGATAACAGGGGAACAAGATGGAAAGTTGGCATCAGAACATGCCCCCTCCTCCAGGTAAGGACATGGTGCTAGAATTCCTCAGCCCTGGATTCATATCCTGCCTGTGCTGCCTCCCAGCCCTGAGACCTTGGGCATGTGATTTCATTTTTCTGAGAGACAAATGTCCAACCTTTAATGTGGGATCAATACTTGTAACCATTGAATGTCTTTTTATTTGGTGATTGCTTATAGCCCTTGTCAATTTTGCAATCGAACTACAGTCTTTTTACTTTTTATTTGCTGAATTCTTTATTGAGTTGACTATTTACCTCTCTTTCTCTCTCTCTCGTGTGTGTGCGAGGTCTAGGAGCTGCTTGTCCTCATCAGAAATACGCCTGGAGCTGGGTACTGTTCTCAGAGTAGCCAGGGATGAGTGTAGTCTTTTCTACACTCTGAATCTGAGTCACGTTCACATTACCCATGCTGGACATTGCACCTCCCCCTGCACGGGAATGACCTCACGTATTGTTCCAGTGCAGGTGTACTCCGGCCAGGACCACTGCCATTGTCTCAGGCCAAGCCCCTTTCTCCCCACCCGCTCAGACCCAGGCTTTGCCCAAATGACCAATCCCAACGGAAACCTCTCACTCCCCCCACCCCATCCTCCACACAGCACTCAGGATCCTTTTTGAAAAATGTCACTGAGTCCCCAGGTCCTTGTCTGCTTGCTCTCTTCAACACAAATTCCCTGAGTTGAAAGCCAGGGCTTTCTTCTTGTGTTCACAATAAAAGAGCCTGGATAGAGTTCCCGTTCTCTGGCTTTGCACTGGTTTAGCCTTGGTGTTGTAATCATTCAGAAGGTAACACATGAAGGATCTCTATCTCTTTCACTGTGTCTCTGCCTTGACACCTGCTGCTCCGGGAGTGCCAGGCTCCTCCCACGAGTGTCCCTGTCCACACACAGCCTTCCTTTGGGGCTTCTCCATGTCCAAGCCTAGGAGGAGAGCAATGCTTGGGGATGTTGGATCGTTCTTAGTGGTGAAAGGCCTGGTGTGGGGTGGTCAGTGATGTCTGCTGATCCAGATGTGGATCTGCCTAGGTCTGAGGACAGTGAGTGGTCACAGGTGGAGAAGCTGTGAAGGCCTTCAGATGGTGATAAAAACAGCCCCATGCTCTCTGGTCCTATTTACTCCCTCTGGGTCTGGACATGTTTATTTGTTCAGCTTTGCACCAAGAACCCTTCCCCAGGCCCTGAGCTGAGCAAGAGGAATGTGGAGCCAGGAGGAGGATCAAGGAAAGATGATTTATGTGCTGAATCCACTATGAAGCCCTTAGATCAGACAGGATCTTAAGGAACATGTGATCCAAGGGGATGCATGGAGCTCGTGTCCATGCATGGACAAAAGCATGGATAAAAGCTAGCATTGGCCTAGAGCCCTTGAGGGAATGTTGCTTCTTGGCCTGACAGGGTTCATCCAATCTCAGGGAGGTTCGATCCTCCCCCAGCTCAAAGTAGGAGTCTCCAGTCCTTATCCACATGGCTTTGGGTAGTGCTGGTTACCTTGACCCTCTGCTAAGAGAGAGACCCTTGAAGCCACCATCTGACCACAGTCCCTGCCATGGTGTCCTGATCTCCGAGGTCTTGTGGACAGACATGGTCAGCTGCACCACTGATTAACCCTATGGAGAATTTTCTTATCTTCAAAGACTCGCATTTGTATCTTTTTGAAAGGCATGGTGACAGAGGGAATAGAGAGAATGGGAGAGTGAAAAAAAGGAAAGAGAGAGGGAAGGAGGAAGAAAGAGAAGTAGGGGGTAAGATGGAGGGAGGAGAGGAGAGAGAGAGAGGGAAGGAGAAAGAGTCAGAGAATCTCATATGGGCTGGTACACTCCACAAATGCCTTCAACAGTCAGAGCTGAGAAAAGCTGAAATCAACCATAAACTCCATTCTGGTTTTCCCTATGGGTGTCAAAGGCCCAAGTCATGAGGGGCAGCTCAGTGTGCTGTAACACATCCTGAGCAGCATGAGCAAAATCTCTGAAGAAAAATCTTCCTGCATGCAGAGGTCTGGAGTCTCACATCCAGGATTGGTGGTTTGACTGTGGAGTGCATGTGTCAGAACTTGGCCTCCTTAGTGAAAAACATGGAGCAGTGTATAGCTGGCTCACATACACATTGAGGATACGGCAGGCCATTGGGGCCTGCAGAGGACATCTGGTACCATAGCAAAGAAGGAGGACAGAATAAATTGGATAACTACCCCAGCCAAATGATGACAGCAAATATTTGGGTGAATGGAGATTCTAAGGTTGGTTATGTCAACCAATGGACCTTGGAAGGATTTCCTCATCCTTGGATTGGTTAGACTGACAACATTTCAGAACTATTGAAACCGGTTGGGTAGAACCCTTGGAGCATGCTCCACATCAGGGACCCTGGGTTGATATTGGGTGGCTGTTCCCCGTCCCCAGGTACTGGGGCAGTTGGGAGGCTGGGTATGGCTTCTCCCCTTATCTCATCTCTTCCCCCAGAAACAGGAAGGATAAATAGAAAATTTGAAAACAATGATCACTTTTCCCTAACCCTTGATTCTCTCACTCTGATCAACTATGTAAACATGCTGGAGTCCAGCCCCAGCCAAGTTCGGAACTCGAGAACAGTGTGTGGATCAGGTGTAAAGAGGAAAGAAATGGACCACTACGATTTCACGATCGTAATGGACGAATACAAGAAAGCTGTCCCCTTTATTTATACAGAAACCCTCACAAGCTCTGGCACAAACTTTTTATTTATTATTTTTATTACTAATTATGTGACACAGTTTCATAGGCTCTGGAATTTCCCCAACTCCTCCCTGTGCCCTCCCCCCATGGTGGATTCCTCCACCTTGTTGTAGTATTACAGTTCAAATTAAGTCAAGATTCTTTCTTTGCAAACATATATCAAGCATAGAGTCCATCATGTTATTGTCCAGATAAATTCAACAGTTTCTTGGGGAGACCATTTCTGGTCTGATGGTAGAGCTGGCAGAATATCATCCTGATCAATTGAAAGCCCCAGCACAACATCAACAACAATTTACAACATTATGGAATTAGTTGACATGGTATTACGTAATCAATATGTTAAAACAATGCAAGTTCTTAACCACATCCTGTGACTCCTTCATCGACATTTCAGTTTTTGTTTACACACAAAACTTGGGTGTACCCAAGAATAATTCTGCCCTTTGTTTCACCTAAAAACTCTCAATAAAAATTCCTACTACAATCCTTACTCTACAACTCAATCTTGAATCTGTTAAGGCACGAAATGTATCACAAAGAAAAGGAGAACCTAAAGATCAAGGAAAGAATGAAACCCTAAACAGATCCTTTGATTAGCATAAGGTCGATAGGGACAGAAAGCATGAATAATAAAAGGCCCTTTTGCAAGACGTTATTATTGACATTAACCTCCAAGCTCACATTGATAATAAAAACCAACTCTGCAGTAGCAAACAATACATGAATGGATTAGAATTCTTCCGCAGGGTGGTCCAGTGTCCATGCAAAGGGAAGTGGAGCTGCATTCAGGTGATTGTAGAGACATCCGCCGGGCCCTGCCATGCAGCGAGAAATTCCTTGCTTCCCTGCCTGCAATGGAACAATACTCTTCGCCCCTTCGTGTCTCCCACATCCACTGCACGGACCCCAGCATAAACATCATCAAAAATAAACCTCCCTTTCCCAGGGAATGGAACCTTAGATTGAAGTTGGTGATTGCAGCCAAGTCTGGGCAGGAGAAGGAGAGTTGGGGCCATGGCAAGCCAGGGGAAGGAGGGGAATCTTGGAGCCACCTTCTAGGAAAGGGAGGGAGTTCCTATCATTTTTCGTTTCTGCCAGATGGGAACTTGTAGGGAGTCCTCCAACATTTCTGGTATTAATCTTCAAATTCCCAGGGTCTAGAAGGGAGCCTGGCATGGAGTAGTGGGGTTGTAACAATATTGATCAAAGAGATGACAAATGAATCCGTGAGGCTGAAGGACTCCTCAGATGTCCCCCTTTCTCCCTGTTGATGCAATTGGCCTTGTCATCCACACAGGACACTCCGGAGGCCCCTGTGTGTCCCTAGAAGCTCAGCAGCAGCTGTGGTGGGGCTGGAGCTCTGGACAGCAGTGTTCTCTAGGACAGGCAGTCCTGTGACCAATGACCCCACTGGAAGGGAGCCCATGGAGCAGGGGTTCTGTCTGCTTTGTGCACTGCTTGGACCTCTGCTCTCAGAACAGAACACAGGGGGTGCCCAATAAAGAGTCAAATGCCACAAGGAGTAGGAAATACAAGGTCAACACAGGTCAAGTGCTTCCTGCCTGTAGGACTTCTCAGAGCCTTTAACAAACCAGCATTCTCTGAGTCACATGATGGTTTAAGTTTAAGGGCAAGACTCTTCTGTATCCTGTGGCCCTTTATACCTCTTCTATGTCCAGCCCCTACCATTCAGGTGGTACATCACAGCTTCAGCGAGGGGAGGCAAACCCAGAGCAGGTAATTGCCCTGTGGTTTGCAAACACAAGCCCCTGAAGAAACTTAGGTCTTGGGGTCTTGGACCTGCACTGTTTTGTATGTAACTGGGCAGGTTCTTGGGCAATGACACTCGGAAGAGGGGATAGCACCACCTTTAACCCATGGCTGTGACCATGCCTTCCCAGGACTGAATGGGGTGGGCTGGAAGCCCATTTGTGGGGTGATGGGCACTGGCTGTGGGAGCCTTCCTTCCCTATCCTTATTTTATGGCTAACAATTATTGGTTGAGCACCTAGCAGATCG